TTCGTGTGTTCAAATACAGTTTGAGGGAAGGGTCGGTCAGAAAGAAGACAGCTGAACATGGTACCAACAACATCTTCATCTTGGTATTGGTTTTTAGCCATTACTTCCATCCACTGGCATCTTACCATGTTGATGTCATCTTTATTCAATTGTAGAATCGACATTTCGCTTGATACTTCTTGAAAATAAGATAGAACAGGAAACGGTACCAGAAAATAAGGGCATGGGAGCAACCATCTTTATATATACCTAAGAAAATCATACCTATTCAAGGACTTTAGTCTTTAACAGAATAGGAATTTGGAGAATTTCCAATCCAGGCATGAAGAAAGGAAACCCCAATGTTTGAATTCAATTAGTTAACCGCACTAGGATATAGTTGGTCTTGTGTGCAAGATTCTTGCAACCATTACTTCCGCAAACGGAAATTATTTTACTTCCATTTTCAGTCACGTACAAATCGTAGGCGCAAAGATGTCTGCTTCTACAAAACTTTAGAGCAAAAGTTAATCCCAAGAGAAGCATCAACTTATTAGTAAATAGTACAAAATAACCCACCTGAAACCTAGCAAAAGTTTCTCAAAACTTCGTTTCTACCGAATCCTTCGATTCACTTGCTGAAAGCTTCTTCAAAGCGGCCTCTTCCCTCTCGCCATCGACCCAACTTTCAGCACGCTCCAACTGCTCGTTGAAAACAGACGTGAGTTTGTTTATCATTTCCAACGATTCATTAGCAAAGAAAACAATCTTCTCGTTAGTTTGCAGTGTCTGAGCACCTTGTTGCACCTGATGAAGCAAATTGAGAATGATCTCTCTGATGGTGATTTTTAGCTTAAAATCTTCATTCTCTTTAGCACCAACTTCGTCTGTGTTCTTGGACAGCGCACTTAAAGCACTGGGCCTGAAATTGGAAATGACATGAATGATTTTCTTGACTGTGGTTATAATCTCAGTCTTGGTTTTCTGTGCCTCTTTTGGAACATCAGCAGCGTTGCGTGCTTGGAAAGCTACATCCAATGTAGCTGTGTTTCCTTGCTCGCTATCACCAGAAGAAGATACTTCGGAGGGATTATTGTTATCATGATGCTTGTCTTCCATTCTCGGGGTGGCTAACTGAACTTGGTTTTTCTCTGTTCCATCTGCTTCTCGGTGGGTGATTCTCAGCTGTAGCTCGACAACATTCGAGCTGATATTGTCATTTGCAAGCTTCAAGATATGTAAACAAAACTTCAAGCGCTTTTTGATCTCAACCTTATCAGCGGTTGTGCCAACTTTTCTCTTCTTCTTTTTACGCGCCCTTTCTTCAAGACGGGCCTGGTGAATATTATTCAAGTTGAGTTCAATTTTATTGAACACGGGCATCGCTGCCTTTTCCACAATTTCCGCTGCGTAGTTGAAGGTGGCATAGTTCCGCTTGGACGTTTCATAATAGCGCACAGCATTTGTCACAAGAGGATGTTTTGACACTGCACTAACACCTTGGACTATCGGATGCTGCTGCAGGGGTAAATCGTGCGGAGATGGTGAAGATATAGGCGAGCCCAACGTGGAAGTGGCGCTGGATGTGTCGTTGGGCGGCGGTGAAGCAGAGTTGGTAAGTTGAGTTAATGCCTGCGCGGCTGTAACTAGATCGTCGCTGCCATCATCGACCTCAGAAGTGGCCGTCACCACAGGGGTGATTTTGTTTGCTTCGGTATACGATGGAGGATCGGATGGGGCGACAGCAGATAGCTTTCTTTTGGCCGATATGGATGGTTCCGATTTCGAAGACATTTTTGAAAGAGCAACAAGAACCCAGGACAGAAATGTGGCGGAATAGAGAAACTTCCCTCGCTTATAGCGCCTCGCTTTGTTTTCTTCCTTTTAGTTACTCACTAAAGGATCGTGGGGCAGAACGTCCAGGATATAGTACAGTAGACATGTGAAATATATGTGGGTAGTTGTATACAGTATGTATTTTACATTATGCTTCTGATTTTTTCCAAAAAAAAAAAAAAAAATAAAAGAAAGAAAAAGTTTAGATATTAAACATGAACTAAGAGGGATTCTTCGTGCACCGTAAGCCAGTCTCATAGAGAAAAAGTAAGACGAAAATGTAGCTGTGCTTGAAGAAAATAATGAGTTGGTAGAGGGGAACTAAGAAGAGGAGATGTGGTTTGCATGTTCATTTCGCAATATTTTTTATCGCCACATGCACACTGTATAAATTACCCAAACCATGTTCTTGCATTCATCGCAATCTGGCTTTTCTGTCACCATCGCCACGATATGAGAGAGGCACACTTTGGGTTCCTGGAATGTTTCTACCTTCCATTTTTCTTCGCATGTACTGTTTCATAGCACGCCTCCCTTCCGGTGAGGAAATGTGGAACGAAGGACGGGGCTCATTTTCCTCTGTAGGCTTAGCATTCTCGTGGGTGTTTTCTCGACACGACTCATGAATTGTTGGTATATCCAAGCTGAGTGAAGCATTGGGACTCAACTGCACCACTGAAGGATGGAGTCCCGGCGCCACTGAAGCCTTATGTTTCACTGTTCGAGCTTCAACCGTCTGTTTCATTAGCTGAGCATGTGCATCTTCTTCGCTTGAGTGAGGATAAAATGTACGTTTTTCTCCATTCGTGGCACTGCGCATGTGCTCCATTGATACTTTACGACAGGCTTTCGCTACAGAAAAAACCAAAACAACAGTGATGGCCTGGGCAGCCAAAAGAAGTGCCACTAACCAAGTACATGTAGGCGACACCAGCTGCCGGTTGCCTGGGGCTATAGCGGCATGGTAGCATCTGTGCGTGTGAAGCACAAGCTCCATGTCACTGTGGCTATCGCTGATAAGATGGAGGCACGAACGGAATGAGCCATAAGCACTGAGCGACATGAGTTTCCTACTCTGCAATAGGATTTGGTTCTGGTTTTTGCGTAAACATGTATAGGCCAGCCCGACATCAGAACAGTGCAAAAAACTTTTCACCGCCGGAAGTTGTTCGAACATGGGTGTGTTAACATCTATCCAGCTGGAGGACATGTACACTAAACACAAGAGTAGGAGAAATACGCCAAACCATGACCAAAAAGCAAAAATATTTTGAAAAAGGCCCAAGAGCCCAGCAAAAACAGGCATATCACGTTTGGTAAGCCGAATTTCTGAAATATTCTTCAATTTACACAATAATTAACTGCAGCGTTAGCAGTTATGGTAGAGAGGAAAAGTGTCTCACAAAGGCATTGCACAGACGGATCTTTCGCAGTTGCATGCTTGCTGCGACATTTTAGCCTCGCTCCGTTTATCTCGCGACATCACATAGCAGGCAAGGCACTGACTCATGAAAACAAAAGGGAAAATTGATAAGCCTCGTCACGTAGCATCGGAATAATTTTCGATCATGTTCTAAAGTCATCGCGCCTTCCATTTGCTTCTTCCCCTGAAGCTTAAATCCGTTCGGACATGACCACCGCACACTCTTATCCAGGAAGACACTTGTAGGCAGTGCACCATTATATCTTGGCGCGAATGGCTCTATCAATTAATTGCCTTTTCTCCAGAATTTACTTTCACCAATGACAAACAACGATCCAAATAACCAGCCTATCCCACCTGAAGGCTGGACAGCACGTTTG